GTTGTTAAGCTTAACATGGGAATGCTTTACAAACATTCAGAGATGAACTTACACACTTGCTTTACTTCTCTCTGGGATCACTTCCTCAGAGATGAAATGCAGGTTTGGTAGCGAGGCTACAAATACGCACAGCCGCTCTATCACGTGAGCACACTGCTCCAACGTGCTACGGTTATGAGCCGAGTTACGCCATGTCGCAAGTTTTGTGAGGTGCTTTTTTGATATTTAATGGATTGGATTACATTTTTTATTTCTCTCCAATATCCGATCCAGTAATTTACGTCAGTATCGGACCGATACGGATACGTAATATTGGATCAGTCCATCTCTAGTTTAAACCCAGACTAAAATCTGTGCTATTTCGATTAGCATCTAAAAAGCCTGGTAATTGCTGACGAACTACTGTACATATAATAATAATGGATTGCATTTATATAGCGCTTTTCATGACCCTCAAAGCGCTTTACAATTCCACTATTCATTCACTCTCACACACTGGTGGAGGCAGCTACAGTTGTAGCCACAGCTGCCCTGGGGCAGACTGACAGAAGCGAGGCTGCCATATCGCACCATGGTAGGTGAAGTGTCTTGCCCAAGGACACAATGACCAGGACTGTCCGAACTGGGGCTCGAACCGGCAACTTTCCGATCACAAGACAAACTGCCAACTCTTGAGCCACAATCGCTCCAATATTCCTGTGCTTAAACTGCTGTTTTAAAAATAAGTGATCCATTTTCCTTTTTTGGATTTCTTTTTTAACAATTTGTTTTGATTGACAAATAAAATGTAAAATACACAAAGACAATCAACAGTGAAACAAAAGCAAGCCTATATGAAACAAATGTGTGCAGATGAGAGTAAGCTGACATTTCCAGACTTTTCTGGTCCCCATGATGACCATGCCCATCCCCCAATAAAGTGTGTGCCTCAGCAGGCGGAGAGAATCTTGTTTGCAAAGGTTACACCTTTCCTGAATTTTGCGGTCCCCACGTTACCCATCAGTTTAGCTCCACCCCTGCAGACACTCATTTCAGCACGTGTAGCGATGTTAGACGGAAAAAAGCAATTTGTGCAAGGACAGCGATTACTCGATGGAAAGCAGGTAAGTCCACTCAAAACTTTATTATTCCTGTTCTCAATAGATGCAGGGACGTTCCAGAAATATTTTTAGCTGTTTATGAGTTAAATTTCTTAACTATATGATTTTTTTTTCGTAGGTGGTGTGAGGTTAGCTAGCTAGGCTAGTTAATTAGCTCTGCGGCCTAAGGCTTACTGAGGGATGACGATGGCTCATTGACACTCGTTTGGTTGTTTATTTACTGGGTGCTTAATTTGATCTATTTTACATTGGTACTAACTTTAAAAGCCTAAAGTGTTATTGAGATGCTCAGGTATTCAGTGGTGGAGTTGGCGAAATATGGCGTTATTTTTGTGCCACTATTTTGAGCGCACGTCAAAAGATTTTGCAAGTACAAGTGTTGCATTTTGAAGAGAAACTTATTTTGAGCGAAGAAAAGCTAAATTCCAGCAAACAAAATTCATTGCTGCGTGCAAAAAATGTATTTCAGTGTTTGCTATTATCCATATACACACACAATAACAGCCCCTCTCTCTCAGTTTTTGCATTTGCTCCTGCTCAGATCTCTGTGGACCCGCTCGCAGTGTGTCGCTCGCGCTCTCAACATCTCTGCCCATGTGCGTTCAACTCTTTCTGTACAGTGTTATATTTCTGCCACACGTTTAGTCCAAAACTCAAATGAGGCAGTGGAAGAGGAATGCAGAGTGGCGGAGTTAGATATATCACTCTCTTTCGATCACAAAATAAACTTTTAAGATATTTTAAGGCTAGAATGTTGCTGTGTAAACTTCAAATATGTGCTCGATTTAGAGAGACACCACATATTTGCATTGTGTTCTAATGTTTTCGGACATGCCTGTTACCCACCAGCTGACCGCACAGCTGAACTGGCCATCGGCTGATAGTGATTTTTCGTTTTTATGTTTGTTTGTTTTTGTAACGGTATAAACTATGAAGGTGGTGGATTTGAAAAATGGTCATGATGGACTCTGGGCTGGACCAATTACAATACATCCGTATTCAGGGGTAAAGGAAGCAATTCGTCCCGTGAATTATGAAGCGGAACTTTAATCTCAGCCAAACCGATTTACTCTGGAACAAATGAAACACTGAAATAAGCTAAACAATAACATTTAAAATTTATCTAAGTGATTTATATATCATCTTTAACACGAGTAGCGAAAGACTGCGGGGGGGTTGAAAACGCTTATCCTGGAGTCTGCATTTGACCAGCCGGTCACCTTGTGGATAACAGGCATCTCCAAAAATGTTAGAACACTTTTGCAAATATGTGTTGTCTTTATAAATCAAGAAGATAATTTAAGTTTGCACAGCAACATTCTAGACTTAAAATTTCTTGAAGTTTATTTTGTGGTCCAGAGAGAGTAATATTTCAAACTCCGCCACTCTGCATTCTTCTTTCGCTGCCTCGTTTGAGTTTTGGACTAAACGCATAGTGGGGTATTTGCCTGGGTTTGGCTACAATAGCTAGCGAGCTGACCGGAGACCAAAACAGCCAATCAGTTTTTTTTGCATCCAAGTCTGTGAGTGGTTGGTTTTGTGGCACAAATATAACGCAGTACAGAAAGAGTTGAACGCACATGGGCAGAGATGTTGAGAGCGCGAGCGACATACTGCGAGCGGTCCGCAGAGATCTGAGCAAGAGCAAATGCAAAAACTGAGCGAGAGGGGCTGTTATTGTGTGTGTGTGTGTATATGGATAATAGCAAACACTGAAATACATTTTTTGCATGCAGCAATGAATTTTGTTCGCTCGAAAAAATTTTCTCCTCAAAATGCAGTACTTGCAAATTGTTTTTACTTGCGCTCAGAATAGTGGCACAAAAATAATGCCATAGCAAAATGGATGGAAGCTGTGAATATATATATA